CCCCCAACCCAATAGCGATGGCCTCCAGCCTAAGAGAGATGGCCTCCAACCTAAGAGCGACGGCCTCCACATGAAAAGTCAGGATTAATAAATTCTCTCTAGCTAACCCGAGCCCACAAAGCCGCCGGAAATTGGCTGTTGATATCCCCCCCTATGGTCTAGTTTTCTACCAACAATCCCCCCAGTTAATCCGAGCCCACAACCAGGTCAATTTTTCGTATTACTACTACTACTGCTGCTGCTACTACTACTGCTACTGCTACTGCTACTACTGCTACTGCTACTGCTATACTGCTACTAGCTACTGCTACTAGCTGCTGCTGCTGCTGCTGCTGCTACTTGCTACTTGCTGCTGCTGCTGCTACTGCTACTGCTACTGCTACTGCTACTGCTACTGCTACTGCTACTGCTGCTACTACTACTACCACCACCACCACCACCATCACCACCTACCACCTACTACCTACTACATGTTTGATGAAATCCTTAAAAGTGTCTAGGGCTCAGGGCCTATGAATTGCCTTATTAAAAACACTTAAAACAATCATTTGACAAGCTCACAAAGGGTACCCCTCACAAGGGCCGGTCCCCCATCAATAATCTGCACTACTACCCCCCATTAATTAGATCCTGTGTCCCTGGCCTTCTCTTTGCGCTTGCTTAAACTTGTTGTGACTACTACTACCACTACTGCTGCTGCTACTGCGACTACCACTACCACTACTGCTGCTGCTGCTGCTACTACTACTACTACTACTATTACTACCACGACCACCAATACTACTACAACTACCACTACCTACTACCGACTACCTACTACCTACTACCTTTACCTAATACCTATTACCTACTACCTACTACTACCTACTACCTACTACCCACTACCTACTACCGACGACGACTGCGACTACGATGGCTCCCTGAGCCGATAATTCAGGGGGAGTGGACCTCATGAGTGGTATCTCATATCATCTTGACCTTGTTGACCTACCATGTGGGGGGGGGCGGGTTTATTGATCCGGTCTTTGCATTAAGAGCGATGGCCTCCAACCTAAGAGCGATGGCCTCCAACCTACGAGCGATGGCCTCTAACCCAATAGCGATGGCCTCCAACCTAATGGCGATGGCCTCCAACCCAATAGCGATGGCCAACCTAATTACTAGCGATGGCCTCCAACCCAAGAGCAATGGCCTCCAACCTACTAGCCATGGCCCCCAACCCAATAGCGGTTGATGGCCTCTAACCTAATAGCGATGGCCTCCAACCATATGTCAAAAGGTTCCTTGTCATCCCACCTCCACACCTCTGTGCAGACATGGCGTGCTTTGGCACCGATGTACAGCAGAAAAGTCTGATGTCGGCTCGAGGCTCGACCTGACGCAGCAGGGTTTGGTGGCAGATGTGCAATTGAGGCAAGTCATATCGAGTCTTGAGTCATTCGAGGCAGTCACAACAAACTCAGCTTTGAAATACTTGGAGCCTTTTGAAGCCTTTCTCGGGATCTTGTTTGTGTCTTTGAGTCATTCGAGGTTGAGGGCCGAGGCGGGAGCCTCGATCGGACAAGGGCAACGTCTCGTGATCTTCCTTTGGCCTTTGAAACTCTGCAGCACTCCTCTGAACGGCAAGGGTCTGTGACGGTCCGTCCTTCCAGTTGTCCATTTCTGGGTGTGCATTGCGTTAAGCTGGTGACCCTGCACGACTAAAATGCTTGCACAACCAACGAGCAGCTGACTTTGATCCTGTACCCCATTTGGGGTACCGCTAGCTAGGTAAAACAACTGAATTCTGGGCATGCCGCTGTCACCACAAGCAGTGCAGTGGACGCACGGACTTTAACTGTTTAAACTTTAAATGTGTTCTTCCATAGGGTTGATGGAAACGATCCTTGAGCTGAAAGAAATCCCCTAAAACTATGCAAGTGGACGGGTCGGCAAACGGACAAATACACAGATGATCTCAGTAAAACTTCTCAGGTCGTGAAGCCCAGCTCACAAAAGGCCAGCACCCTGATTGAAGAGTTTGGAACCTCCGTTCATGAGCCTTCCAGCGTGACGAGGGTCAACCTGATGCAACATGGTCATGTTCGATGCAAAGGGCAGTGAAGTTGAATAGTGAATTTAAAGTTCACCAGGTTCAGAACCATCAGGACACTGTTGCCAGCTCGCTTCAGCGACATTCCTTAATTTCAAAGCGTCCGGAAAATGGGAACACCGGCCAAAATGTTGGGCTTCGTTTGCACACCTGGCATTGATAAAGAGGAAAGGATAAATGTCTTCCACCTCGAAACGCCGCACAGCAACTCCGCAGAGTAGCTCCACACAACCACGGCTGCCACACTGCTTTTTGGAACCGTTCCAACGTGTTTGGACATCGAGATGACTTAATAACTTATATTTAGGACCACTGTAAACTGCTGGACGGGTCTTTGTTCAGAGTGTCGGATGTCAAAGTGGATAGTTCTCGTATCAGCGGGGTTTGGATGCGATGGGGGCCTCAAGTCACCATGTGGCACTTGGCCCTCTTCCAGTCCAGTGGGAGATTGAACCAATATGGTCAGCGTGGTGACAAGATCTTACAGAAATGGAGTACACAAAATAATCCTTGATGGTTTCTGGGTTCTGCTCCAAATCCGGTGGATGATAGCAATTGCGCTGCTCTTCGAAGGACAGCTCAGGTTGGACCCCCCCAATGTCACTTTGCCCCAGATGTTTCAGCCCTGAGGACTCAATGGCACTTGGCAGAATCCTGCACAACCTCGCTTGGGAACCCAAGGGGTCTATTTGCTTTGATGTTTGGCTTTTCTCCATGCAAAAGCACATTCCAATTGTACATGCAACTGCATAGATAAACGCATTCCAAACAGCGCAAAGATGCAAGGAAGCACTGACAACTATTGCAGCTTGCAGAACTTCGGAACTGTGCTGAATGCAAGGAAATTGTAGAGAAGTATTTGGGTACCAAACTACACTTGCAAATATTTTCAAGTCCGCTTCGAAAGCGCTCCTTTACCGGGACGAACGCTCTAAGCCCTTTTGGTTTGCACTACTGCGAGGTCTTGGATCAGACGTCCTCATAGGTTTGCATGAAGTCTACATTAAGTCTAGTTTCCCTAAAAATCTAGGAACCAAATCATTAGTGCGAGCGCTTCTTCAAGGAAGCGCGAAGCGCGAGCTATCCTGCGTCCTAAGTAGTAGCAATTTATGCTACTAGCTACCTCTAGCTACTACCTCTACGGCCTACCCCCCCGGGCCTTAAACAACAACAATAAAGGATAATAAAGGCATATAAATTAGTTACTAATAGCTTCTTGTTACTACTAGTAAGGCACTTGTTCCTAGAAGCGATGCACTTGTTTCTACTAGCTTCTTTTCTTTTTTGTTTTTTGTTCGTTCAGAATTGTGTTTGTCAAATCCGTTTTCTCTCAGGTGCGACGCATCAGCGGCATCGGTGACGGGCTGCGATGCGCCGAGCTGTTCAGTGAGCAGCTTCGTGCAGCGAAGGAGCGTGCTAAACTTGGCCCTGGCCTCGGCAGCCGAAATGAGAAGTGGGTCTTTGTGCATTGAACTTGGTGTCGGATGTTGCAGGGAATGAGTCGTTGGGAATTTCGTTGGAAAGAATTTCAACATGTTTGGATTTGATGTGTCTTTTTTGCGACTTAGTTGCCATGCAAAGTTTCAATTCCATGCTCTCTATGACTTCAACTCATGACTTCTTCGTCGGTCAACTCCTGCGGGGTTTTGTGGGTCAAAGTGTGCAGGTCTTTGCGCAGATGGATCCCATCAGCGATACCATGCAGCACACGGTGCGTTTGTTCCCAGCACAGAAATTGTGACATTTTTTTCACAGGAATTGTTAACTCTTAAAGCAAAAGAGTTTGGGTTAGCATGAACCAAGTTCCAATGTGCTTTTGGAACTTTGGCTTCAAGCTGGTTTCAAGGTTGTCTTTGCTGCTTCCGAGCGATGGATTTTTTGCTACGCGCCTGGGAGTCCCTTGGTGTCTGTGTAAATCTCGCATTTGGCGGTTTCTACTAGAAGCTTCTAATAGCTTCTTGTTACTACTAGTAAGGCACTTGTTCCTAGTAGCGATGCCTAGTTCTTCGGCCATGTGCTCCACAGTGTGTCGGTCTCGCCATGTCTCGAGTCTAACGCCTCGTGGCGTCCAAGGTGGAACTGGCTGCTGCGGCGGCTCCATCATATCAGTCAGCTTCAGGCCTTGCCACTCTCTACTTCACGATGTTTCATGTGAGAGTGTTGCCAGTGTTGCACGTATTTTCGCTGAAATCCAAGCTTTGCACTATCACATTGTTGCCAGCTTCAGCGCTCAGCTGCACTGCGTTGCACTGCGTTGAACTGTTACAGTTGTAAGGTCCGATTCTTGAGAACTGTTTCCACCTGAGCCGCTCAATGACCACGCAAGGCTCTTTGCTTTATGCATCAGCTTTCAGTTTAGCTTCGGCAAGGGGCCAAGACATTGAGTGAGAGATGCCATGTGACGCCATGCCTTGCCTCTACGGTGAATGCAAACTGAAGATGAAGGCAGTGAAGGCTTTGGTAAAAGGCAGTACGGTGTCAAGATTTGGATCCCCTGTGCTGCGCTTTGCTACATCTTACGTTTTGTTGAGGTCATCTCTTTTGGTGATAAGCCCTTCCGCGGAGATCAAGAAAATCATCTCCTGATCAGGCACAAGCTGCAGACCTGCAGATGGGAGTTGACATCCGCTTGCAAAGGGAGGGAGAATTACAAGCTTCTAGTTACTAGAAAGCTTCTTGTTATACAGGTGAAAACTACAGGGAAAACGATGTTTGTTTTCAATTTGGTATGTTCGTCGTTGTGAGTTTTCATGGCGTGACATTAGTGACATATACAAGTGCTTGCTCGGTTTGAGTGGAAGCGCTGCGCCCTTCCCCAGCTTTTCAAACCGAAGCCAAGAACTTAAAAAGACGACCCAAGGGCCTGGGCCCAGACACGACTGAACATTTTGTTGCTAAGAAGAAACCTGTCTTTTCCGTTCCTTTTGATGTTCCTTTCCTTTTCCTCCTTCCGCGCGATGCTAAACTAAAGAAGCAAATCTCAAATCACTCCGAAGTAAAGTCCAAAGCTTTAAACATCCGAAATAAGTAGGGGCAGGCACATTAAGTTTGAGTGGCGTTGAAGCTGTGAAACATGTTGTAAGGCACGTGTTGAAAGCTCAGATTTGTTTCCAAAGATGGTGCTCGGTGAATTCGTTTCAAGCCAACAGTTCCTGATTCCTCGGAGGTTCCTCCTGAGTGCCAGCCTGTGGGGTGGCAATCCCACGCCCGCGCCAGTGGGTGCCAACTCCGTGCAGAGTGTAATCGGTTTGGAGTTTCAGCTTCCAGAAGGCTTTAGCTGTGGCTTGGCATGTGTCGCATCGATATTTAAAGGCTTACGCCTAACAGCCGGGCGCCGGCCCACTTGGGTCTGTGGGGCGTATGTCACGCCTATGTTGGCCTTGGTGGGGCCTATATTGAGCAAAGTTAAGCTATTTGGTGCGCATCTTGGCCCTAGGTTGGGCCAAGTTGGGCCCATGTGGTCTATGTTGGGCACATCTTGGGCCCATGTTGAGCCTATGTTGGGCCTAGGTTGGCCTATGTTAGGCCTATGTTTGCCTATGTTGGCCTAGGTTGGGCCTATGTTGGCGTATGTTGGCCCCATGTTGGCCTATGTTGGCCCTATGTTGAGCCATCTTGGAGGCTATGTTGGGCATATGTTGGGGATATGTTGGCTATCTTGTCCGATGTTGGGGATATGTTAGGCACTTTGTTTTGAAAAAATCTTCCGATACAACTTTTTACGATTTTTTCCTTCCCGCAAAGCAAAAACCTGGAAAAACCTACGTTTTTTAACATCGCCACAGTGAAATGCCCGGCCGCCGAGGGGCCCCAAACCCTATAAAACACGAGGCTTTTGAACATCGCACGCACAAAGCACTGTAAATTACGTTGATATCAGTGACCCGGAGGTGGGAAGGGGGTCCGCCCGTTTTGGTGACGAGGGTCGGCGGCAGCCAGGGCCAGCGTCTATAACCTTCGGTTACCACCGAAGGCCGTCCGGGCAGGGCACGGGCTTCGTGGCCGGCGCCCGGATTAACCAGGCTAACACCTGGCAGCCGCCGACCCCCAGGGAAGTGGATGGCCTAGTCACTGCATCACCAAAGTAGGCAGAAGAGAGCACGGCAAATGGGTTAGCATTTTTCTTTGAAAATCTGGGAACCCAAAAAACAACACGGAGCCCCTAGACAACGACAGAACTATCTAGAGAACCAGAGAAAATCCTGGAAAAGCCCTCGCAAAAGGCATCAAAGGCATGAGTACAGCTTAGAAAAACCTTCGAAAATCCTAGAAATCCAGCGGAAAACGTTTGCAAGTAGAGGAAAATGGGTTAGCATGTTTCTTTGCAAATCTGGGAACCCAAAAACAACACGGAGCCTTTACAAGTACCTAGAAAAACCAGACGCCATGCTGGAAAACACCCTCGCAAAAGGTCTGCAAGGAATGAGTAAATCTTGCAAAAACCTTGAAAAATCCTAGAAATCCAGCGGAAAACGTTGCAAAATCTGAGAAAAAATCAAGGGCACTGGCAGGGACCAGGCCGCGACCAGCCCGGGATTCGAGCCCGGGACCATTTTGGACCGTGCTTATTTTCCCGCGCGGGTGGAGAGGGTGCCCCAAGATGTAAATCAATTGCGATGGAGAAATCTTGGACAACTCTCGCGCAAATCTCGCGAGCTTTTCGTCATTGTCACCCGGCTCCGGAGGGGTAGGGGAGGTAAGGCTAAGTCCAAGGCTAAGGCTAAGGCTAAGGCCAAGGCTAAGGCTAAGGCTATCAATCAACAGTCACGCCTCACCCCACGAGTGGGGTCGGCGGATTTGTACCAAATGGAAAGTGCTTTTAGTTTCCCTAAATTTCTGGGAGCCAAATCACTAGTGCGAGCGCTTCTTCAAGGAAGCTCCCCCCACAGAGCTTCCTCGAAGCTTGAGCTGTCCTGCGTCCTAGCTAGGAGCTCCCTATTGCTAGTAGCGAACAACTCCCTTACCTAATGAGGTAGGCGCCTACTCAACTCACTAAGGGCGGGCTTTAAGAAAAATACAAAAAGAGGCTCACAACAAATTGGTGACAAGTCACTCAGATCTGAGGCGTTGGTGCAGCGGTGCCGCAGACCAAGGCCGGCGCAACGTTTGACACGGGTTGTTGGGAGCTTTGTTTTGCACGTTTGCAGAGAATTAGTGGCGTTTCTCAGCTGAGGGGTATGGAGTCATCGGCCAAAACAACCTTGATGGCATTGGAGCTCAGAGCAAGTAGAAATAGAGGCACATTGTGCCACCGCTACCGAATCCAATTCCAAGCTTGTCTAAGGCTATTGGCTCCACAGCGGCCGCTTATGTATTTACGCTCTCCATGCTTATGGGGTTGTGTATGGCCACAGTGCAATTGTCGTGACGCCAAGCTAACATTGGTGGCTGTTTAGTACTACATCAGTTTGTCTAGCTTTGTCACTGACCGGTGAAGGGAGCAGAAATGTTTGCTTTGCTAATAAGCGTGTTTACATGTCGAGAATATCTTCTCAGGAACCTCACAGTGGACAATCCAAGCATTGCCTTGCCGGCCACGGATCCCTCCAATGTTTGGTCCATCAGGAGAAGCAAAGTGGCAGTGAGTAGCAGTGAGTTGTGCTCCGAGTTAGGAAAACAAATACCAGTAAACTAGCTAGGCCAATAGCACTCTTAAACAGTCGAAGATGACATTCTACTAGTAGCAAGGACACTACTAGTAGCGCAAAGTCTTCACCTCTGTAGGCTTCGTGGCACGGTGGCAGTGGGTATTGTCCCCACCAATGCCATCGCTTTGGTGGAGGGCGCGCAGCGCACATTCACAGCAGCGCCAAACGCACCTGTGCTGGGCCTCCTGCGAGGTAGGATGCCGATGGAATTTAGTGAAGCCGATGGAAAAGCAATGGCCTCCAACCTAGGAAAATTGGTTGCCTTGGAAGCTAATTGGACTTGTAAAGTTGCTTGCACTTGCCAGCATTACAAGGCAAAGCCCTACTACACGTCAGGAACAAGACAATCAACTTTATGTTTTCAAGCAAGTACGTCGGTGCACGGCTGTGGCAAATAAAGTGGTCGATCATGGGTGAATACGGTAAGAATATTGACGTGTCAGCTCGAGTTTGACGCATTGCGCATTTCACCAGATGCGAGTTTGACGCCCCAATACTTTGCAGTCACTGAGAGGACCGCTTCAGGGTGGAAGTGAATTGAGTTGCATTTCGGATATTTGTTCTATCGAGCGAAAGGGGCATTCGGCTTCGGTGTAGTTTGAACGCACCCGGAGGAATTGGCTCAGCATTTTCTTCACCACGGAGCAGAGCTCTCCAGAAACTTAGATTCACGAGCTCGGCATGCTCGGATGTCATTGATTATCAGATTATCAAGCCTTATCCTGAACAAATGGAGGCTTCAGAGGTAACATGAGACGAGGTGTGGGGGAATTGGAGATTAGATGCAGGCCATCGCTATTAGGTGGAGGCCATTGCTAGGTTTCTTTTGCTATTCAGATGGAATTGGGTTTACACATGTCGTATTTTCGGGAAGACTCGAGGCTTCGCCTACACGCGTCATTTCGCTGATCTCTCTCGGCTCGTTTGAATCTTGTACTTCTTTGAATCAAGAATATCCGGAAAGGATGCATGGTTTTGTAAAGAAGCACTTCACCCAGGCAAGGATCCGCACAAAAAACGCATTTGGGCTTGGTGCTCTCGCTTTTTCCCTCAGGAGAATGGAGGTCATTTGCAGCTGATTTTGCCAAACGGATTTCTTTTCCAGCCAAGATGCCTCACGCAGCCGTTGCCCATGTATTACTACGTGCTTTGGTGAGCAGCTAATGGTGTGTGATTGACGCCACTCCAGCATTGCAGCTATGCTATGGTAGTGGAAGATCCAACTCTTTGTCATTCTAAGCGGGGCAGCTTTGATGAAACGCACGAAGAGTTCAGTGACGTGCAACTACAGATGCCGTACTGTAGCCAAGATGTAGCAACTAGTTTTGACAGCTGTTGAAGGTGAAAATAGAAATTAAAGTAAAAAAAACCTGTGCTTTTGAAGGCCACCGTTGGCTTCTCCTCTGCAACCTTGCAGCTCCCAGTGCTTCGTTGCATTGGCAACCTCAGCAGAGTGACTGGACGGCACTGTGATCGAAGAGTGGGTCGAAATTCCCCACCAAGAGTCGGTTCCTCGTTTTTAGCCCGCTCCCCCCTCCCCTACTTAACTAAGTAGGCGCCTACTGAATTAAGTAGGGAGAGGTAGCTAGTAGGTACAGGGCGCTACTACTTACTGGACGCAGGATAGCTCACGTTTCTAGATTTTTGTGGGAAACTTAACTTTCGGATACTTTCGAAGGCTCGCTCAAGTTCCTGAGTTCACCGTTGCACATGTGCATGCATTGTAGCAAGTCTTTTGCCAAGAAGAAGCTCAACACAGCAAGACCAAATAGTTACATCCTCCTTCAAGCACAAAGCAGGTCACAAACAGTCATTTTACATCGTTTCAGCGGATATAGATAGACCAGACAGACAGATAGATAGACATGTTGTTTGGTGCTTGTATGAAGGATTGCAGAGTTTGATCGAGTCTCGGTTCATTCCAACTGGAGATGGACAAATTGATGAAATGTTCGACACAGAGATTCTCCTAATATGATTATATAATTTGAAGCGTTTGCTGTTACTAATTTCGTTGCGAAAGCATCTTTGGTTTTCGCTCATCGTTTTGATTCATTTCCACTCGACCTGCGCACTAACATTGACATTGGGGGTATGGAGGTCGGCGATGAAGATAAGCCTATCGGTCCTAAGGGTTTGAATTTGTTTGAGTAAATAATTCCTACTAGTAACAAGAAGCAACTACAAACAACACACCTTACTATTAGTAGCAAATAGCTACTAGGAGCAAGGCTCCTTACTTCTAGTAACAAGAAGCTACATAGACTTGTCACACCCAAGTGTCACACGTGTGTTCATTTTCTTTCATGGAGCGACGAAAGATGGTGTTGCAAAGGCGACAATCGTGCTTCCATCAACCACCAGCCTTGATGCTCGGCAATTTCTTTATGTGTCATGATCTTTATGGAAAGTGATGATAGATTGTGAGAAGAGATGGTAGGAGGAAGCCATATGTGTGCAGGTTGGAAGAGATGGTAGGGTAGCAGGTGGAGTGCATCCTAAGAACGACAAATATGTCGCACATTGTCGCACACTTTGCACACATTTGTACGTTTCTTGGAGTCCATCACAGCTAAGGTGGCATCTCGATCTTATGCCTTTCAAGTGCAAGTCCTAAACGCAGCATCATACCAAGCTGATCAGCATGACAACTTCAGGCGCAATTGGCTCAAGTGGGGAGCTTGCTGTCCAAATACAAATCGAGCGAAAAAGTCGAGACAACATTGCATGTGCTTCCTCTCGCTGGTGACCAGATCACTGCAAATCTAAAACCCTCAGGTCATTCTTTAGCAGTGAATGATAATGTTGCTAATGTTAGCTGCATCGCTACTAGCAAGGACGCCACTAGGGGCTCCTGGCATCGCTACTAGGAACAAGAAGCTACTAGGAAGCTACTTGGATCAAAAATATCTGACACATCTTCCAGAACGAACGCCCTCGGCTCCAAGGCTTACTACAGAGAGCGCCTCTGGTGATGCCTTGGATGGCACCTTGACGACGCTCCGCTATGTAGCAAGTGACACCATGGCGCAATCCTTCGGGGTCTATCGCTTGGCCATGGCACCAGGTCAACCGGGAGAAAGCTCGATAAACCTCAAAGCACTATTGACAAACTGTAGCGTTCTTATTTCTAATAGCTTCTTGTTACTACTAGTAAGGCACTTGTTACTAGTAGGGAGGCACTTGTTCCTAGTTGCGTTCTTGCTGTAGAACATGAAAAAGAATATTAAAACAAACAGCTGTCCTTCCATGTGTGGCGCTGATGTCGTTTTCCCACGGGAGTGCCAAATCTGGAACCCATCCAATCGCAGGCTCCTTTGTCTTGACCTTCGACAACATGTTGCCATACTCCCAGACTGCAGCACCATCCCGGATCGTTGTGTTTCCATTGAAGGCGAATGAAGAGAGCGCGCATGTGTGTGTGTGTGGGTGTGAATGAGTGAGTGTCGGACTTGGTTTCCCTGTCTGCCCAAGTTACCTTAAAGGATCTTAAAGGCTTTACTGTTTGCTTTTAGAGTAAGGCCAGGAGCCCCTAGTAGCATCCTTGCTCCTAGTAGCGATGCCCTTTTCTCCTAGTAGCGTCCTTGCTCCTAGTAGTAAGGCCAGGAGCCCCTAGTAGCGTCCTTGCTCCTATAGTAGTAAGGCCAGGAGCACCGATTGCGTCCTAGTAGTACCTTAAAGGATCTTAAAGGTTTCTTTTTCCCCAAACAGTGTGGACACACTTATAGGGGTTCTTACGGAGGGGTTAAGCAGCTGTGCTTAGATCGCTGGAACGCGCGGGCGTGGATGGCTAATTCGCAGCTGTTTACAGTACAATCATGTCTCTCGAAATCCTCGATGTGCATTTCGAATGCGCAGGGTCGCGAAATCTGGGGGCCCGCGGCGGGTGCTTGTCGCGACTGCGCTCTCATTGTGGCGCCGTGCGCATTTTTGCACATGGTTTTGTGGCAGGTGCAACGGAAACCTCGTGCTTTGGCTGTCCAAAGTCGACTTTTCGTGACAGATCAAAGGGATCGGAGCGGCTGCACTTCGAAGTGCAGACTTCGTCGCAGGCTCAGCACTTTGGACATGGCGGTGATCTTCGCGCCGCTCTGATTTCGTGACAGGTGCAGTGAATCGTGACTTTTGGACAAGTGGCTCGTTTGCAGATTTCGTGGCAGGCGCAGCACTTTGTGAACCTCGATGCGCAGATTTCGCGGCAGGCACAGCACTTTGTGCTCTCAGATGCTCACCTCTCACTCACACACGCTCACATTCACACTCACACTCACTCACTCGCTCTCACTCATACTCACACCCACTCTCATTCTCTCACTCTTCTTCACTCACACACACATTCACACACTTATGGATATGCGTACTGACTGACAGCGGTGCCACACGCCGGCCTAGGGTACCATTTCCTAAGGGTACAGGTAAGGAAACCTGAAAAGGAAGTGGAGGTCCATCAAGTTCAGCGTGGCCATCTAATCTAAAGGAGCCATCGAACGATCGACCGACAGAATGACGTCGTCCGCTCACATCTGCAAGTCAAAACCAAAGCCCTATGCGCGACTGCCGAGAGCACACCGGTGCAAAGGCTGGATTTCTTGTTCTAGTTACAAGCAGGGCCCAGGAGGAGTTGATTCAGGTAACACTGCAGGTACGTCCAGAAGGTGTCCCTTCCGGATATCAGTACCGACACAGAAGCCTCTTCGTTGGACTCTCACTTCTGTGGGGTAGACAGTCCCCCTGCTGAAGAAAAAAGAAACAATTCAAAAGGATCCCTGTGACTACAAGGGGCACACACACACACACGCCTCCCCGAGGGGAGGCGTGAAGCTAAGGTGAGGGCCAATGTGCACGTGTGTGCGCACAAGAGACACAAGAATGAAGACGTGACAAGAGGACAGACGGGACAAAGGTGTGTGTGGTTGAAATGAAAGGGGAACCAAGTGCACAGGGACACCCGATGAAGCCCACCTCATTGTAAAGACCTGGGCGACCTGAAACCTGTGTTTACAGGTATGTAGGAGTGCACGCACACACTAAGGCCGGGACCAATGTGCGCGCAAACGAAGAAAAGGATGAGATGACCAAACATGAAGACATGAGGACATGAAAGAAAAGAGGAAACAAAAGGTGTGTGAAGGGGAAGGGATGAAAGGGGAACCAAATGGAGGGGACGAGAACCGATGAAACCAAACCTCATTAGAAGCATGTAGGGACCTGCCTCGTTTGAATGTAAGTGCTGTGTGTGCACCTGAGAGTGGGACAGGTTCCAACAACCTCAAATGTACTTCGGTCGCTTTGACCACGTTGAGGCGTTAAGCCAGCTTGGACCGCTGCGGTCACGTAAAGGCATGAGCCAACTTGGAATTCCAAAATTGAGACAAAAATCAAAGTTCTGTCGGCCTAGGCCACCTTCGCCCGCTGTGGGCACGTGCGTTTCCAAAGCAAGGGAAACAACGACAGACACCCGTTCGACGGGTCCATGGGAGGCACTCTACGGGCTCATCCTGGACTGGCACAAGGCCAGACACACTTATGGATATGGGTACTGACTGACAGCGGTGCCACACGCCGGCCCAGGGTACCATTTCCTAAGGGTGCAGGTAAGGAAACCTGAAAAGGAAGTGGAGGTCCATCAAGTTCAGCG